GCAGTCGGACGGTTTCGTCGTACATCTGTTTCGCGATGTATACCTGACACCACGGCGTCACGTGGCATTGTAACGTCAGGGAACGTCAGATGCCACCATAACGTGGTATCGTCACGTCACGTGACGGGCTTATATATTCATGAAACCCTCGCAGTGTGCCTTTCAGCGGCCTTTTTCTTGTGGGAGGGTGCAAAAGACTGAGCGCGGAGAGGCCTTATCAATGCGCTATGCATTTGTAAGGGTTGTGGGAAACGCCAAAGTCGATTTGTTTTGTTTTTTTGTGAGTGTCTGTGTACAAGTTCGCTCGTTTGATGTCGGACTCGATGCAAAAAAAGAATTTCATATAATATCCATCTACGAATTTTCCGGACCATAGTCCGGACCCTGGGTATACCGTATTTACTCGAGTAATAGCCGCACTATTTATGAACTAGGACCTTGCGTCTGCTTTCCCGCAAAGCACATATACAGCCAATCACTATGCTGCGCATAAATAACATAGCGAATGACTAGATTGAGAACACGAGTCTCCATTCAACTGCAACCTTCATAGGTGGTATCTTCGCTCGAAGACGTTATCTCTGTCCTGTAAACCGCTGGAATCATGCTGCCGATCACGGTGATTGGCAAGCCGTATGCTCCGCGGAAAAGCGAAACCCTCAGGTTTTCTTCTTAAACAGTGCGGCTGTTACTCGAGTAAATGCGGTAGTCCGCAGGGGCAAATGTCGGCTAAAGAAATGCTCTCTCTTAGGTAGTCCGCACCTGGCGCGTAGTCTGCACTTCTGGTTGGCTTGATCAGTGGCCTACTCCGGTTAAAACGTCAGGTTGGTTGTTGCCCGAAAAATAGCGCACCATGCTGAAAAAAAAAAGTAAAAAGTAGGAATGTATGACTTATCATTTTTTTTCCTAGTTCTTAATGCTTTTATAATTCATATTGAAAACACGCAAAAAAAAGTCCGTGGACGCTCTTCGTTTTAAGAGCATCGCGTCCGAAGTTCCGGGAAGACTTCACGGTCACTTGTTTATCTGTAGTAATGATTATACCACCGCAAGCAGTGGCTTGTTTGGTGGGCTATCAAGATGAAGCTTGACTCACGTTGTACGCTTGGACGCGGTTATCTTGCGCGTCACCCGCGTGGGCATGGAGGGCGAAAGCACTTTTCTTGCTGTTCTAGCTTGAAAAAAAGTGATCTTATAAACCGCCCTAACACCGAGGAAAAAAAAATTGCGTAGTTTGCACAGCTTGGAATAACAACCTTTAAACAGGTTTTCGATGTGCACAGATACCGTACACGTCTTTCCCCGAGTCCGAGAAATACGGTTGTCTATTATATATCTATGCAATGATCTATCCATTTATGTTCATCTAATTATTGATGAAATTATGTAATTGGGTATTAATCTATTTATAAAGTCACCGAGAGTTGAAGAGGGCGTGGCTTATGGTCACGTTTCTTGCTTCGTGATTGGCTCATTGAAATACTTATCTCCTGATGCCTGATTAGCTGCGAAGCCATAGAGTAATATAGTAAACGTAAAGAGAGGACACAGGAGCCGATTCGCGGCCCAGATAGTGCGTTTAATACCCTCCGCTACTTGGCGCTTTTCTGCAATTTGGTTAAAATTAATTAAAACTCTTTCTGCCAAAGTATTTATTTTTAAATGGAAATGCTTTAAAATTATTTAAAGTACTTAATACGACTAAATAGTTTAAATCAAATACGTCACAAAAACCACGTGATGAATGGCCTCTGCCATGGCGTGCCTCCCTGTATGCTGCCTGCACGCCGTCGCCTCTGCATCATTCTGCGTGGCCTCTGCTCGTCCCTGTGTCGTTCGTCCGTGCAGTGCGTGCCGTCCGTCTGTGCTTTCTGCTGCATCATGTTCGGTCGACTTTGCATCAATCAAGGTGACGCATGACCGTCCGCGTGCTCGCATGCTCGGCGTGAATTCATGGTGCCGATCGGTTCGAGCTTCTCGCGCTGTTGTTTCTGCCGGGCTGTCTGGCTGCACTTGAACGTGTGTGCATGTTGATTTTCGACGAGACTGCTTAAAAAAAGAATTTAACTTACGACCCTGCACACGACATTGTCCATGGGTTTACAGATGACGGCGTTGAACGAACCTCTAACATTGCAGATAGAGCCTTGGTTGTTATGCTGTCTGAAATTTCCAGGAGGTGCGTTTAGCCCCTTGCATACACTGTTGTGGACACTCCAACAACGTCTTCTGTTTAACGCAGTCTCCTCATTTCTCTCATTCGGGAGCTTAAGACTGTTGGCTTCACAGTAAAGTCTGTGGTTAGGGGGCTTCAAACGTAAGCTTGGTGTGCGTGTTGATAAGCCATTTTTTGAAGTTGACGACGAACACGTTTACTTTGTCTTTGATGTTCCGCACCTTCCCAAAACAACCAAGAGCAATCTCCGAGCTCACAAACACTGCACTGGAAGTGAGGTCATTGAGTGGTCTTCTGTTGTTGAACTTTATTGCTCTATCCATGAGATGAGCTTGCAATTGGCTCCGAAACTTACTGAGAGACACATTTTTTCAAAAACCTTTCTGTAACATGGAAGAAAATTGTGCCCCACAGGTACCGAGTGCCTCACTCTTTCTTGCAATCATATCCCTTGTTTATGCCATGGAACTTCCTGAGGCAGCCATGGCTACAGCCTATTTTTGTGATAGGATGTGCATACTTCTTGATTGTCTAAATAGCTAAAAAAATCAAGAAGACGGGGCAGAAGTTGCGTCCTGCCATTCTGAAGGGAGAATCCGAAATACTTGATTTTCTCCACCAGTAACTCGGATGGATTTCAACATGGCAGTTCCAAAGTAGGAGGCAGCCATAAGCCATCATTTGGTGGCAAGTTACTATAAAAAGTGTCTTCATGCTCTTTGATGAGCTTTCAAGCAGCCATGACTTTAAGTTCTTACTTACACGACGCCTGCAGCAAGACACACTTGAGAACGTTTTTGGAGCTATATACGACAATTGCTGGGCTGCAACACAAACCCGAATGTGCATCAGTTCACCTCAGGACTAAAACACCTCTCGATAAAGAAACTGTTCAAACTGTAGGACAATGAAAACGTAGAGGATGGCAAGACTGACCTTCTAAAGGAGTTGCAAATATCTTCGCACCATGAAAGTTTAATTTCAGACATCGTGGAATTTCTTTCAATTGATAACTTCCCGCCACTAGAGGATATTTCTGAGCTGGCATCAGACACCAGGTCTAACATAATTGATGACTCGTCCACTTTTTTATTACGTTTGGGGCTATTTGATCAAGCTTTTGCTTGAACAGACAACTTACAGCTGTGGCTGTTCTCAGCTGCTATCGGATGAGTCTAATAACTTGACCAGGCCTCACCAGTACTGTCTTGTTCCTAAAGCATACCACGTGCCTGGAAAATTCTTCGGGAACTTAGTAGTACCATCACAGGCTGCCTTTCATTTCATTTAGCAACTAGAAAATCACTTTCTTCCTATAATAGAGAGTGTGACACATGTTCGAGGAGTGTGTGCCGCCTTGTATAGCACACTTTGAGGTCTGGGTGGTTTTAGCCTTTGCCCAGAGGAGTACCACAAAGGGTTTTTAAAATTGTTTTGCAGAATACGCTTGTGTTGACATGTTTGATTTCTTAACCGGAATTTGGACGAAGTTCGGTTGCACTCTTCAGTGGCTAGTAAGGAACGAGACAGGTTTAACTGTTAATAGTGTATTAACAGAGGCGGTTGCCAAACCAAAAACAAAAAGTGCTTATTAAGTGGGCGGTGCAGCTTGCTCTCCAAATATTTGTTTCCCCTTTTTCCAGCGAATGTATATCACGGCTCCCTAACAAGAATATTTGTCCACTTTCTACAAAATTTCGATAAAAAATTGTGTATAGAGGCTATAAATATTAGAAAGTAAATGATCCAATTTTTTATCTCTGTCCATAGTTTTTTAGCCGCTTTTTTCTGAAGCCATATTTCTTTTCTGAACAATTTCCGGGAATGTTTAGGGACGTTGAATCTTGTCAGATTTCGAATAGAGTTCTCATTGTTTGGTAATGGCTCGCCCGCAGTGAGTTTGAGGCTATGCAAATCGGTGTTTATTTTTTTATATTTGCCGGAAATCTGGAATTTGTACTATCCGGCGTGTGCTTCGCACTTTTTTTTATACTCTTATGACTGGTAATGATAGCGATGTCTTATTTATTTTTGCACTTACTTCCCGTACCCGAGTCGGCGTCAAAGTGAATGTATCATACAGCATGTTCTCCGTGGAAAGGTTTTGTTAACTTGGTTCCGCTAAGAATCTATTACGAAGTGTACGATATGCCGAAGTCCTTCATATTCCTTTATATTTGTGAGTATCGATCTCTTTCGTATAAAACATACAGAGCTTCTGAAGTAAATCATGTATACATGAATGTGGTCCAATAAAATGTGTTTGAACCACTTACTGTTGTTGACCCCAAAATGCTCCACCAGTCAGGAGTCAATGCGGCGATTGTTAACTTCAATGCTTTACAATAGAAAAAGAACAAGAAATATATATACTTTTGCTTTGCGAAGTAAGTTGAACTATGGTTTGACACATTTTGCACGGACTCTATGGTAAAAAATGAAACTAAAGTGCGTCAATACTAAAAAAAAAAAAAAAAAAAAAAAAAGCAACGGCTTCGGGAGTCCCGAGAGCCGTGCGAGGCGGGGAGGAAAGAGAGAGAGAAGAGTACCGGAGAAACGGCAGCAGAAACGCCCAGACCGAAACCGAAACTAACTTGACCGGAAACGGAATCAGATTATGCTTAATACCGCCCGCTAGGAGCGCTACCTGTCACTGGTCTATCTGGGCCGCTGGGGCCTATGGTAGTGTCCGCTCTTTACCTTGTGTATATTACTCTATGGCGAAGCGGGAATCAGATGCTCGCCACGTCCCGCGTTTCTGTCAGCGCTTCGATCTTTCCGTCTACTCCTCTGCTATACTCTAAATCTCGGTGAAACGTTACAGGTGTGGAGGCTTGGCGCCAGCAGATGTCCCTGGAGAGGTTCATTCTGTTGGGTCATAGCCTGGGCGGCTTCCTGGCGTCCTCGTACTCGCTGCAGTACCCGCAGCACGTCGCCCACCTCATACTCGAGGACCCCTGGGGCTTTCCGGTGTACGACCCTGCCAGGCCTCGGAGCAAGAGGCTGCCGGTCTGGTCGACACCGCTCCAGGCCTGCTTCAACTACGTCAACGTGCTCTCGGCACTCAGGGCCCTGGGACGTCTCGGTAATACACCTTACGATGTATTACCACGATCGTCTGATAGGAGTAGCATGGTGCCTGGTACGCGTCTTGACGCGACCAGTCTGTTTACCGCGCCCTAAAAAAAAACACACACACCTACACACAAAACACCCATAAATTTTTGCCGGATAACACCAATAGGGGTGTCACGTTGCCGCCGGCGGCGATCCTGCTGGTGTCACAGCAGCAGCGATGGTGGACGTGGAAGACTCCTGTTCTGCCGCATGTCACTTTCCGGTTTGACACTTCACGTAAGCGTCGGCTGCCGAGAGTTGGGACGCCGCAGCGGCAGCGACACTCGCCTTCGCTCGTGCTTTTTGCTGGGACTTGTAGAACCAACCGCCAGGATCGCGACAGCACGACAAGTCGACTTCTGTGACGTCATACATTGCCATTTAGGGGCCACGTCTGATGTATGGGCGAGATGGGACGCGAAACACACCAGTCGGAGGCGCGTTCTGGGGACCGTGGTATAGTAGCGCGTATCGCGTGCCCAAGTAGCATCGTTCGGTGCTCGAGTATCTGAGCCATCTGCCAGGTGCCAGCTCCTCAGACGCCGTTCAGCATCATTTGGCTCTAAAATGGCAAGCGACTGCGCTACCTGCGTCACTCACTGGTGGCCAGCAAAAAACCACCTGCTAATCCAACGCGAAAAAAAAAAATTGTTTTGTTTTTTGAAGTATTTTCCGGGCTTCTGGGTCATTTTGTTTTGAATTTACGACATGGAATCTTTAAGTTTGGAAATATGTGTTTGTGATATTAGATTTTGAGTGTTCTAGCCATTACTTTTACTGTACGGAAATGAGAGGAGAACTCTCCTTGAGCAGAGCGTTTGTTTTCTCACGGTGGCTATACCGATACCTCCACAGGTCTTCCACAGGAGTAGGATGCGGATATGAAATATGTCACATCGCGAATTCCGTGTAACAGAGGTGTTCAATGAAGTGTACTGCCCTTTTTTGACGTGAAGGGTCAGTAGGGAATATAAACTACGCTTTCGCGCTCTTATATTTAAAAAAAAAATAAACGCTTACTAAAATTTCGAATGGTATTGTTTGCCACTCCACCATCCTACCTGCCAGGTGTTGTTGAAAGCTGCTACGATGTAGGCTCGCGTAAAATACGAGGAGCGTTTATAGTAGACAGTTAAACGTCAGTTTTTCCCTATTCAACCCCAAGGTTCTGAGACACGCACCCCTCACAGTGATGGAAATGCTGCGCCATTTGCGCCAAATTGCGCCGTGAGCGAAAGTCTGCTACATCTTGCGCCAAGGTGCCATTCTGGCTAAGAATCGCGCCACACCTGCGCCTAGATGGGGGAAAAAAATATATCATTTTTTTATTGGTTGACCCTAATATTCAAAGAAGTAGGAAGGAAGAAAAAAGAAAACGGTAGGAGATATGTATTTCGCTGCGTCTCTACTCACCGTATACGTTGTTTCATCTTAGGTCAGAGCACAGTCGGAGGCTCGAACACATACATCACGAACACACATAGTAAAAGCGCAAGTCACGGGACATTCGATGCACTCGATTGGTTTAATTGATGAAAAAACAATTGCAGGAAAATGGTCGAATGTCTATATGTCGCGCTGTGACGTCCTTTGGTTGATCCCATTGGCTCGTAGCGTCGGCTGCACTTTAAATTAAGGTGAAACGAAATTTTAACATTGCTCGTCCACCGCGCTGGCCGGTTGGTGCGCTGGCGGCTTGATCGCCGACATTTTCTAAACTTTCCGACACTGCCGGCGATGTGAGGAGCCAAAAGTCGCGAGAAAACATTGCAAAATAGTAGGATAGCGGATACTGCGATAAGACAGAACCAGGCTCTTGTACTTCTGGTGAGATCACTTGATTACGTCTGCCATATGCTTCCGTGGCGCCTCTCCCCAGCCCCACGCGCGTCGAGCTTCACCGCCTTGCTCCGGAGTGCTAGGAGTAGCGGCTGACATGGGTGAGCATCTGGTTTAGCACGATATACATGCAAATTATGCTCAGTACTATTCCAGGTCCACATTCTTTGGTCTCGATTATATGATCTAGTTTTCAAATGCTGCGTCGAGAAAGAAAGAAAAATACGCTGGTGCTGTATTTGAATAAATGTAAGCGCAAGAGTAGATTTTCATAATATTTGTGGGTGGTTGTTTTTTTCCAGTTTATAATATTCAAGTCTTGAGTTTGGTAACGATAGAATTTGGTAGGCGCATTTTACTGATAGAGGTGTTAGCGATTGCGTTGCTTTTTGGTGGCAAATCAAAGCAAATTGTTGTATGTTTATACCGCCGGAACTTAATCTGCCTCAGTGGGCGTCCGGTGTCGGTGCCGTGGCTAAATTGCAGATGAGCAATTTAGCCAGTGCGGTACAACCGCTAGCCTTGGGTCTTTAATCTGCACCACGCAGTAGTGACATTCGTGGAATTTTACAGAAATTATACATACAGGCTAAATAAATTATCGGGTGTAAAAGTGGGAGCGGAGGGAGGCTTTACCCAAACTGAGGTGTGACTCATTTCTTATCAATTTGTTTAGTACCCATTGTAAACGGGACCTGCTCTGACCAGAGCCTTATTTCTAAAAAGAAAGCTCTGTGTACCTTTTGCGTCCTATTTGTTCTTATTACAAAGGGTAACGAGTAATATGCTTCAATATTAAAGATAAGCCCTCAGCCATTATCAAATATAAACTCATTTAGCGATGCAGACAATTTTTTTTTTCAAATGATATGCTAACAGACGTTGGCATCTGCTACAGAAGCGACAGTGGCTGCTCCAAACGAACATTTCTCCTGCTACGGAACCTGCTCCAAAACGTCAAATGCCGCTTCTATCACTGCCCTCGGAAAAGCGTCATAAAACATGACTTCAGCCGAACAACTGCAGGGTGTCCCAGGTCACCAGGATCTGATCTAAAATTGACCGTAAAAATCGACGGCTGCACGGAGCAATCTAAACTTTTCGTCAAAGATGTATTCCACAGGTCGGTTTTTTCTTGTAAAATTACGAAGCGTAGCTTTCTTTCTGTAAAGAATAGCGCCAAGAAACTTGCGAGGGTCAACGGCGACCAGACGGCGACGCAGACAACCAAGTCGAGTTGCGGGGCGCGTTTGGCGCTCGTATTGATAGATAGCGCTACCTCTTTATCGAGACTGCTGGTGACCACCGTGGTTTATTAAAATGAACATAATCTTTTTGTAATGTACCTTTGGTTAAAAAATAAATGCGGACAATAAAAGCAAAACTTAAAGGGAAAACGAAAAAAAAAAAAAGAACGGGTTTGCATAACGACGGCGCTTTTGCCAACGGATTTCGTCTGCGTGTTGTCTTCTTTCTTGCGCTGGTCGGCTACACCTTCGGACGCTGCTCCAGACGCCATCTATCAGTACGCGGGTCAAACACACCCCGCATCTCGACTTGGTCGTCTGCGTCGCCGGTCGCCGTAGACCCTGGAAAGTTTCTTGGCCCTATTTTTTTACACAATGAGAGCTCCGCTTTGTAATTTTACAAGAAAAACGGACCTGGTGAATGACACATTTAACGAAAAGTTTAAATTGCTACGTGCAGGCGTCGATTTTTACGGCCCATATTAGATGTAGCCTGGTGACTTGGGACACCCTATATTTTCCGGAAGAATTATAGACGGCGATAATATAATATTATTTATATTAATACTAATTAGAACCCCGGAAACGTACTTTTTTTTTATTCCTAGGCCCCAAATGCGTTTTGCATCGGATCAATACCGACCAGCTTTCCAATACTGTAAAACCCTTTATTTTCGTGGCCTCTATATTTCGCGAATCGGTCACAGAGGACGTAATCGCGGCCACTAAGTTTCGCAAATTCCAGGCGCCTGCATTGAAACTCTTAAGGACCGAAATTTTCGCGTGCCCCTAATTTTCGCGAACTTTTCAATTTGCGAAATTCGCGAAAATTAGGGGCTCACCAACATTGGTCTTACAGTATCTTGAATTTCGGCCCACCACAATGAAGAACCCCATTTTTAACACGTCGCACGCGTCCAAATGACAATTTCGTTGTCCGTGAAATTGTCTCATTCCCCATTCCCCGGAGAAAAGGGAATATCCCGCAGCCTTGCCCATGATGCTTTCGGACCACTCTATACCCTATTTCACCTTATAATGTACCGCAGCAAAGGCTACAAGCGCGAGCTCTTTGCTTTGGGGCAGATCTCGGTGGCACAAGCTCTCGTGTACAAAGTGCAGCTGCCAACGCTATGAGCTCGCGCTCCTAGCCTTCGCTGCGGTACAACATAAGGTGAAACCACAATGTCAGATACACTCTTTAGGTGAGGACACGACGGGGCTGAACGCGCGGCGCGAGGAATCAGATAATGTTCGTTCGACGGCCATCCGAAAGGCTGTATCATTTCGCTGCCACCGTGCCCGCGGCTGACAGTGTCGCCGGCGGCCAAACGGCGAAACTGTGTGAGAGCGAAAAAAATTATCTCGTTGCCATGACACCCCCGTACACCGTGGTCCTTCTGAACGTGCGACAACCTCGCTGGAGCTCTGTGCGTGTGGTACACGAGGCGGCACGAGCCGTCTTGTACGTGCCCACGGGTCGACGAGTCACCTGCCGGCGCCGCTTGAAACCATACGGAGAGAGAATGAAGAGCGAACTTTATCGGGCACGTCGCGAGGAGCGTGCTGTCCTCACCTGAAGAGTATTATCTTACACCGTGGGTGAAACGGAGTATAGTCACTGGTGAAGTGCGGGGTGTGACCGATAATGTTCTCGCTTCTTGTTTCCTGATTGGTCGTTCGGCCATTCTTATCAGCTAATGCCGCCATCTGATTGGCTGGGGAGTGATAATGAGATGCTCGGGACTCGCCGCACCCTGCGTTTTTGAGGCTGTCACTGACCATGTTGCACCTCACTGTCCACATTCTCGATTGGTTTCAATCTTCCGAACGGCGAAGCTATACGCACTAGGCGAATGCATTGATCTTCTCGTTTCTGTTTCGCAGGTCCAGCTGTGATGCAGAAAGCGCTGAGCGGTGCCGATGCCTATTTTGGTCATTTTGTCAAAGATAGCACGGCCATTCCGAATTACGTGTACCACTGCAACGTTCGCAGGCCCACGTTAGTGTCCATCATTGATATCCAGTTGCGCATGCCTCTCTAAAGTGAGCTCATAATTATTTATAAAACCGTGACAGGGGAGAGGAGGCGTTCCGCAACCTCAGCGTCCATTTCGGCTGGACCAAGCACCCGATGGTCGAGCGCTTCCTGAACTTGGATCCCAAGGTGCCTGTGACGTTTCTCTACGGCGATCAAACATTCATCACCCGCAGCCCCGCCAAGTACATCAAGAAAAAACGCTCGGCCGGCTACGTTGACATCAAGGTGAGACGGTCGCGAGTTGCCTTCCGTTAGTTATTTTGCGGCTCACTTTTCATTGAATGTTTGCTCGTGTGCGAACAGATAAGATACACGCACGCGCAGGTATGTGCTTTCAGAAACGTTCAGGTTTAACCTTAAGCCAACAAGCTCTATTTGGCGTGAAGAAACAAAAGGCGCCGGTTGCCCCGTCTCACATTCTTCTCATTTCATATCCTTGAGCAGTTTGCTGTTTGCGCTGATCCGTCTTTTTTATAACTATGGACACCGTCTTGAAGTGTGGATTCCCTTGCTCGTCTGAGTGGTGATGCTGAATCCGCCTGGCTGCAATTTTCATTCGCTGCGTTATGATTTTTGTGAACATTGTAATAATCTATACACTATTCACCCGTTTCCCAGACTGCAGTGAATGCCACGAGTGGCGCGCGGTGGTGCCTTCCTGAGGCCATGCAGTGATTTCCATACCTCGGTATCACTCAGTCATGAGTGCAATCACACTCATGACACTCACACTCATCGTCAGATTTAAGGTCGCGAGTGAGTGCGCTAGTCTAGGAAATTGTGCGTGCGAGCGTGAATGGGAGCTTGAGTTTTGAGAACTCATGAGTGTGAGCGTGAGTTCTGAAAACTCACGAGTGTGAGCGTGAGTGTGAGTTCTGAGAACTCATGAGTCTGACTGACCGTGAGCGTGAGTTTTGGGAAGTCATGCGTGTAAGGTTTGAAAAGAGTGTGAGTGTGAGCGTGAGTTCTGAGTACTCATGAGCGTGAGTGGGCATTCCGAGAACTGATGAGCGTGAGTGTTATAACTTTGAGCTGTGAGTGTGATGACCGTGGTTACCTGCGAGTGTGATGACCCTGAAGAGCTGTGAGTGGGATGACCCTGATGACCGTGATGATCTGCGAGCGTGATGACCTGTGAGCGCTGGAATTTGCTTGAACTGGTTTGGTCACGTGATTTCCCAGGGCATTTTAGTGGGTGAAGAGGTTCTCGCTTCGCAACAGTGCTGCGCGGCGTTGAGGTTTGGCCGGTATAACCTGCGCTGCTGTGGAGAGCGTTCGCTCGATCGTCGATTCTCGGCAGTCGAGGCGCCTATGGACTGACGGCGTTTTGCCGTGTGGCGCGCGAAGAAGGTGCGGCGGCGTCGAAGCTGGGCAACCGCTCCAAGGGGCCTCATACGTGGCAACAGACCCTTTTCAAAAGTTCATCGAGCAACATTGGCGGTCACCGTTGCTTGCTCACGAATGCTCGTGATTGGATCCGAGTCCTTGCCGAACGCTGACGCAGCGCTCGTGTCCTATACGAGCTGAGCCGAGTTCACACCTGTTGTGCACTCCCTCACAGGTATAGAACAACCCGCCAGTGGCAGAGTCCCGGGCCGGCTTTGCTAGAAACGGAGTCTGAGTGAAGACTGTGTGACCATTTTCTTATGTCGTCAGCCCTTTTCCTGTGGTAGGGAGAACTAAAGCCCCTTGGTGTTTTAAAAGTAGCTCAAGGTGCGTCGACGCACGAGGCACGTGCAACGTGCAGCCCTCGGGAAGATCATGGCGGCACAGCGCAGCACTGAGCTAGATTTCAGACGCCATGAATTTCCCAGAAGTGGCGCGGGGCACGTGTCTCAAGCATTTCCACAACAATGAATGGCGCCACTTTTCCCAGGATGGAGGGGCTTTAGGGAGAACCGCTGCCCATGTTATTACTTTTTTTCTCTCTCTATACTCCGTTCACCCTAATGCCTCATTCACACTGGGCGTTGAACCGCGTTCTCGAAGCAGTTGCGAACGCGATTGCTGAATGATTCAGTGGAGCTTCACGCGCATTGGACGATGAAAACGAGCGGATCTGCTTAGCGGTTACGATTGTAACGCCAGAGTGAATGCAGAATTAAGCTGAGACTAGAAGCTCTGCCTTCAGCACGAGCTTTCTGCTTTTGTTAACACAAGTGTGAACAGGCAGGCACGCACAACCAAAGCACTGCCGAAGCCAGCGAGCTCGCGCTGAAGGCGGGGCTTCTACACTCTAAAAAGTGTCTGCGCGTCTACTTACCCGCAAAACACTCGAAGAGTCAATCTCTGCGAGCTACAAAATCAGCTCAGCGAATTGTGAGGCGGAACATCTGCTCAGACCTCAAAATTAAGTCTGCGCTGTGGCATTACGCAATGCAGCATGACGCTTTGCATTGCGCGATGCCACAGTGCAGTCTTCATTTTTAGGCATAAACGGATGTTCCGCCTCATCATTGGCTGAGCTGATTTCGTAGCTCGCAGAGATTGGCTCTTTGAGTGTTTTGCGGGCAACTAGACGCGCAGGCGTTTTTTAGAGTGCAGTCTCAGCTCAAAGGGTTACTCCGGCGATTTCTTTATGGTCCCCGATTTACTTGAAATTCTGCTCAACACACCAACAAACATCGCTGAAGTAGTATCCCAAATATTAAGCAAATATAGGTAAAATCACTTTTTTTTCTCTCGAAGTTATTGAATTTACAATTTTGGTCCTCACCGTGTTTTTCAAACGGAAAGTCTCTACAGGCTACAACGAAAAAGTGCGGTCAGTGGAACGGAGGGGTTCGCTCTTTGGCCTGTAAAATTTGTTCCCAACTGATTATAAGCAGTTTCATGCTGTCAAACGAATGCTTTAAAAGCTCGCTCTAGTACCCGCGTGCCAGCATGGAACAAAAGCTTGGCATAGTAGTTTTTAAAATGCTTGCTCGACTAGCAAGCCTGCCTGCCACTTAAGTCATATGGCACTGAAAAGTGCGGTTGCATCATTTCCATTTGCCGATTTCACGCAAATTTACGAATTTTGCGATACTAAATAGCATACCATAAAGATTAAAGGCCGGGGATTCAGCAAATATAGTTAGTGGGGTAGCTAGAAAAATGGCCGGAGTACCCCTTTAAGGCTAAACGGAGTATGCACGGTTGCGCCGTCTGAAGGATTAACCAGGCTTGAAAATTTGAGTGGTTATCGCTCCTGGGGTCCATCGTGGCTCCAGTTTGGGTCCACAATACCCACCCGGAGCCAACGTTGGGTATCATCTCGTGTGCTATACTACTTGGGTAGCGTCATACAGTTTTTCTTTTACTGCGAGAGCAGTTAGTGGGACACTTCGCGGCTTTCGTGCCATGTACCGCGCTCCATATCGACGCAGGCCATTTTCTGCACTCCGCCAAAAGATTCCCCATTGACGTCACGCCGCGCGTCACGTCACCGGCTACCTGGCGCCAGACAAAATAACGTTACATTGTCACGTTGCACAGTGACGCCACTCGACTTAATGATGTCGGGGGACACAGTGAGTCATGTGTCATTCAGACGGCACGTGACAATACATCGTCACGTGACACCATGGCGGTACGTAGAAACTTAAACATGAGACTGCTGATAATGGAAACAATAAAAACAGCGTTTTCGTTAATCTTGCCAGGAAGGTTCTTGGGCGTTAAAGGGATACTGAACCAAGCAATTTAATGTCCGTAATAAGTGGCGCACGTTCGTTCCACGAGCCAGCAGCCGCCGGTGTGCGCGAGCACACGCAACCAAAATGACGTCAGAGACCTCCATTCGCGGTTTAGATGACAGTGAAATGTATGGGCTTCGGGCCAAAGGAGAATAAAGACAAGTTTTTCATCAACACAGTGGTCTCTGGTGTAAAAGGTAAGCGATTAATTGGTGTAACAAGGACGTAGCTTTCGCTTGTGGAGATGAAAAACCTGTCTTTATTCTCCTTTGGCCCGAAACCCATGCATTTCACTGTCCTCTTAAGCGCGAATGGAGGTCTTTGACGTCATTTTCGTTGCGTGTGCTCGCGCACACCGGTGGCTGCTGGCTCGTGGAAAGAACGTGCGCCACTTATTGTGGGCACTAAAATCTTTGGTTCAGTATCCCTTTAAAACGAATAAAGCAATGTGGGTGTTAAATAGGTCATGAAACGCTATCGGGTTGGAATGTTCATGACTTTACAGGGGCGTACTGGCCTTAGTCTGGCCCAAGTATATTCGCACGGACCGCCACTGATTCAGAAGCTTCTTTGTCGCGGTGAAATGGCGAGGATAAAAGGGGACCATTTGTTTCAGTCTTGCCTTCGCAAAGCTTGATGACGTGATTGTGGGATCGAAACCACCCGCCTGACGACAGTCGAGCGCGGCTCATGAACTATAAACAAGAACTGCGGGAGTAGTCGGCTTCGGCTCGTAACAATCAAAATGCCTCGGCGGACACTCGAGTAGTGGTTCGTGTCCAACCACTGCGGTGATGAGAATAGCCCAACTCTAAAGCCTGGTTCAGACAGTTGCGTTTGACTGCGTTTGACTGCGTTGCGGCAGCGAGAAACCAGGACATCCCTGCTGCTTATATCGCGTGCCATGATGATTCCTTGAATTGGAGTCCACGCTTCATACGATGCACAGATGTGCCGGTGACTCGCTTTCGGTTCTTGACGCAACGCAGTCAAACGCACTCAAACGCAACTGTCTGAACCGGCCTTAACAATGCCTTGAGCTCAGCAGGCGTTTTCTACTTTGCCGACCCTAGCGCGTGGCTGTGATTAACGTTTGTGGCATAGGACAGGCACCAGGCCACGTAGCCGCTTGTTCTGGCTCCGACTTGAGGGGATGAATGATGCTCAAATTTCTCGAATTTATTTGCCGACTGTTATTGCTCATAAAGAAAAACTAAGGCAAATATATTCGGCTCTTAACGTTAGGGAGTGATTCTGAGTAGTATTTAGCGGAAGTGGAAGGATCGTTTCATGGGCCCCTTTAAGCCGGCGAAAGCACGGGCGTGAAATTAGATGGAACTACACGCTTGAAACTTGAGTGCGTGATTTTCGAAGTGTTCGTCAGTGACCACAAGGCAGTCCTAATTTGCGTCCAATAAGATGGTTTAACACCTTCACGAAATGCTCTCTAGGTAATCCACCCTCATTGGTTCCAAAACGCCATAGAATTTAGGTCATGTGTTTTACTCGGTTTAATACGAAACGCCTGTGCGGACTCCGTGGTGCACGCTTGCACCTCTGCCGTTCATTCAGTCCACCTGCTCCGAAATGACACTTTAGTGGATCCGACGTCACACCTCAGCTGTCACTGTGCATCACCTTACGCGTAGCGTAAGGTGAAGCATCACGACAGCACCACGAAAATTGGGTTTGCCAATTTTTAATTATAATTTTTTTTTTTTATCGCGTGATAAGACATTATTTTGATGGGCATTTCGCGACTCCCGAGGGGGGTGAGGCCACCCAGCGGAAAAGGCGTGATGGGGAGAGGCGGGAAGTTACCACCTGTCCAAGCGTGCACGAAAGCTGGCGCGTGGCCTAGCGGCCGAAATGTGAAACGAAGGAAATAGCATTAAATGCACGCTGTTGGAGTTGGGAATGTCCCGTCCACTCTTCCCTCTTGATTGAAGGCCCGAGCTACGACTACGAGCCGCCTGAGCCAATCGCGTGCGTCTAAACCGCCGTGTCAAATCATAGCTTCGGTTCTCCGTCACAGGGAAGGGAAACGGAGCACAGGTGTCGAAAGGTCTGGGTCATTTCTTTAACTGGACCTTGGACACGACCGCCGGGTCAGTGTTGAATCGGCCTGTGGGATCCAAGAATTGCGATCCCATTCGCGGGTCGCTTTCCCGACACTTATGGCAACACCAACGGTCTGCAGGTCCTCAAGGGCTGCGGCCACAACGTCCACATGGACCAACCGAACGAGTTCAACGACATCGTTAACAAGGTCGGCGACCGTGCCGACAGCCAGGAGAAGCCCGAGGGGGACCAGCCCACCGATCTCGTTCCCGAAGAATGACGGACGCAGCGGGACAAGACACCCGGAGCTCCGTTCCGCGCGGGCGACCAGGGGACCATCAGGGAGTCGGATTGTCGACACTGCACGGTTCCGCTTCATTTCGAAAGGCCGAGTCAATGCAAATGGGTAGTTTTTAAGTTTGGGCTCTGATCACGTGTGATGAGGTCGGATCAACGAGGCTTCTGTTTTTATTGCTCGCGAAATATTTACGTAGTCACCGTTCTTATGGTCTTCTCGCTTTGTCTCCGCCAGTAAAACGTGCGCTTAGGTTGCCTTTCAAATCCTGCCTCGTTTCGACGTCCATAAATATACTCTTTCTCTAGTGTACGCCTCGATCCGCAGTCATTTACAGGGGGTCTAGTGTTTAAGACCAGCGTGATATTGCCATTGTTGTTTTGTTACTTGTCATTATATTTTTGTTTGTGAAAAAAAAAATGTTGGTATTTCGTTGAGGTGGATGAAGCACGTGAATAGTTCGTTTGCCACCGAATTGAATTTAATAAAGGTATTGTTGAGCGTTGAGAATCGATTCTTTTTTTTTTGTTCTTGTTGTAGACTTATTAAGTTGAGAATGAGTAGTCGGTTCCTTTGCAGGCTTTCGAGGACGGCTCTCACACTGCGCCACAGCTTCTCTACGGTGCTTTTTATTATCTTTTTTTTGCAATGTGACAGCTTTTGTTGTGCTTTTTTTCTGTTATTAAAACACTTTGCAGCAGGAGCACATAATGTTCGCTCGCACCTTTCACCTCTTCACCGGAACACCAGTAAGGCGCCGACTGCAACGTTAAAGAGATGCTGAACCGAAATCTGGATTCCACAAAACACCCGGCAAAAGCGTGCAACGGGATACTACAAACTCCAAAACATCGTTCATACAGCAATATCTCGAACGGATGATCGTATTAAAAAAAAAAAAAAGAAAAAAAAAAAAAGGAGACGCATTTGACAGATATGTTTACGTCTGGTTTCTCCGAAAAGGAGAGGGAACGGCCTCGCGTATTCTCCGCCTCGCCGCCTTGAGGGGGCGAAGCGAAGAGAGGAGAAAACGAGATATCTTCACGTCACGCGCCTCGTCGGCCTCGTTCAATCTCGACCTCTTTTTCCAAAAATACGGCCGTCCATTCGAGATATCGCCTTACGAGTAGTGATGTAGGCAAAAGTAAGGTGCGCAGACACAGCAGCCATGGGATGATAAAAATTAAAAATCTAATTTAATGGCGAATTAAGAAGAAAAAAACGTCACAGAAGCAAAAAGAGTGAAGTGGCAAAAAAAAGTTGTATTAGTTTACAAGAAGAACAATCAAAGTTAGACACAAAACCGCTAGAGGCGCGGAGAATGCAAGAACTTACAAAAATAAATTGTTAAATGAAAAAAAAAATAGAATAAAGAATTAAAAATACAAATAATAATAAGACAGGGGCCTGACGTCCGCCGACCTTTTTACAGCGGCACTGTCTACTTCAGGACTTCCTGAAGAAGACAGTGCCACTGTCGAAACGTCGACGGACGTCAGGCCGCTTTCATATTTTTATTTCTATTTTTAATTCTTTATTCTATTTTACATTTAACAATATATTTTTACTGAATTTACTGAAAAGCGTTCCTGCCGTTCCTTCAATTTCTCTCGGCCTTTTGGATATGATCAAGGCCTAACCCCACGTCGCTAGGTCAGATCCAGCCGATTAGCATTGTCTGGTTTCGGGTGGATTCCGCCTCCGGGCAGCTGTCCCCCCATCGGCGGAATAAAATCATTTTAGTGCTTTTCTTTAAGTAGTTACTATTGGTGACGTTAGCTACCAAAAGCGTTGGTGTGTTCGGCTTTCCAAGATTAGCCAAACTGGGATTATTTCTGCTTTCATTACCAGAAATATCGTAATGTAAGGTTGTCAACATTGACGGCGATGTTTTAAGAACGCGATGACTCCAGCTTCCATCGTACACAATGCGACTTGTCACCGTCGATTGGAACACGCACCATCGAATTTGTCGTTCACAACTGATAACCCTGAACCTGTCGTCAAGGGTAGGAACTATAAAAGGACGTCACTGAACACGCCTGCACACTGCGAGCCCTGCACGAGCCTCTCGCTTGGAAGTCTGTCATGGCCGCTCGTGAGTTAATGGAACGCGAACCGTTTTAATTCCAGCATCTCTAGAACCGTTATTTCGAAAATTTCACGCGTTGTTTAAAGGTTCACGAAACGATATCGGCTTGGAATGCTCATGACTTTACAGAGGCGTGCTGGTCCTAGTCTCACCCAGGTATACTCGCACGGACGGCCACTGATTCAGAAGCTTCTTGTAAGGATAAAATTGTAAGGATAAAAGGGGGCTATTTATTTCAGTCTTGCCTTCTCAAAGTTTGATGACGTATTTGTGGGATCGAAACAACGTCGGATCGAAACCACCCGCCTGACGACAGTCGAGTACTGCTCATGGATTGAACACGAGAACTGCGGGAGTACTCGACTTTGGCTCGTAACAATCAATGCCTCGGCGGACACTCGGGTAGTGGCTCGTGTCCAACCACTGCGGTGATGATAACAGCCGAACTCTAACAATGTCTGGAGCCCAGCAGCCGCGTTTTCTACTTAGCCAACCCCAGCGCGTGGCTATCATTAACTTTAGCGGCATAGGATAGGCAGCAGGCCACGTATAGCCGCTTGTTCTGGCTCCAAGTAGTGGGGATGAACGATACTCATATTTCTAGAGTTTAATTGCAACTGCCATAGCCTAGAAAAAAAAAAAACAAAAAAAAACTGTGGCATGTTTATTTGTTTATTTACGTTAGGGAGTTATTCTGAGCAGTATTTAGCGAAAATAAACAAATCGCTTCATGGCACCTTTAAAAGGGTCATGAAACGATTTTCCTACTTCTTCCTCCTTAGCTTTAATCCTCAACTCAAACGCGAATTGTGAAATCACGTGGTCGTGACATTCCTTAGGCACCGGTGCGATAACTCCTAGCTTCAACCGTGCTTTTTATGCACACCATAGAACTTGTCATTTGCCAGTGACGATAAGTTCCGTCAGGGCACTGATTTGTCACAATTGCGAATCCGAATATTCGTTGACGGATTGATTGTTGACGAGCGCATACGCCCGAGTGACGCAGTTCTCGTGTCCAATGCGTGAGCTGGGCTCTGCTGATGTCAGTTTGGCGCCGGTGAAGCGCTTTTGGAACCGCGGATGTATCTTAGTGAAAAGGCGGAGAGCTTTCGAAGGCAAGAAGGTACAAAATAGTCCGCTATATTTTCAAATGTTCGCACCGAAAAGCTGGCTTTTGACTTTCTAGCCTCTTTCTTTCGGCCAACTAAACGATATGCGATTAGTAAAGTCCCAATTTAAAATCATTCATCCCAACCCAAAATTCGTTTCATGGCCCCTTTAAAGGAGCGGTGCAACGTTATCCAATTGGAATGTTTTTCACTTGACACGAGCTTACTGGCACACCTGGGACTCAAGTATACTCACATTCAACGCCACTGGCCAAGAAACTCCTTTGTTGCGGTGTAATTTCAAGGACAGAAGCCATCATTTTCATTCAATCTCTCCTTTGCAAAATTTGATGATGTAACGTGGGGATCGCAGTACACCCAAGTGAGGATATTTGAATGCGGTTCATAGATTGGACCCGAGCATTGCGTGTGCACTCGACTTGGGCTCGTGATATTTGCTAGTTCGAGAAGCATTCGGGTAGTGACCCGTGTCTAATCGCTGCAACGACGACAACAGCCGAGCCATAACAATGTCTGGAACTCAGCGCATGTCCTGCGCTTTGTTAACCCCAGCGCGTGGCTATGATCAACACTGGCGGCATATAATCGGCTCCAGATCACGTGGCCGCTTGTTCTGGCTGCGAGTGCGTGTTTCATAGGTCATTAACGTTAGGGATCCGTTTTAAGCGGTATTTGCGCAAAGTACAAAAATTGTTGCATCGCTCCTTTAAGCGTGGGCGTCGAAACAGGAGTGCGGGGAGAAAGGCAACTCTGCTCCCGCCCACCTCAAGTGGCGTCGGAGGATGGCGCAAGGGGCATAAAGGGGTAAGGGGGGGAGGCGAACGCTCCAGCCCGAGACCATAGCCTCCTATATAATGCGCAGATATTTCAGAAAGGTATAATAAAAAAATTCGGGGGAAGCGATATCCCCCTTCTTGACTACCATCACCCCCACCTCTCTCCCCCCCCCCCCCCCTCCCTTCTCTCCCGAACATTCTCTACGGTATTTTCCCCCGTAGCCCCCACATCTATCAAACACTACCTACGTCACTACCCACATCGTTTCTCAGTGACCCCGGTAGCGTTGTTGACAGCGCCGGAAAGTGAGCTCTCAAGCCGGCGTACAGCGCGCACGGCTCCACAATATCACGAAGTTCAATCTTCGCCTCGATTCCGAAGCGAAAATTTCGACCTCAAATAACTTCTTCCCGAGCTTGTGTAACGTCACTTTGTTGTCACCAATACCTTCCACAAATGACGATCTTGCGACGAGGAAGTTCTGAGTATTCACAGCCCACCTAGGTACAATCTAGACAGCATTGGCTCTAATGCGGCGTAGGGATGTAGAGACACGTCATCAGTGCAGCCGTTCTATCGGCTGGCCCCACGGTGTTGCTTGCGCGCGCTCCGACGAATCTCGCTAGGACTTTGTGCGTCACAATCTCGCTCGAATTTGAACGCCTAGAGAGTTTGGATGATTGACATGTCGTCCCGCGTGATGCCATCTTCGCGAGAGTCCAATCAGCAGGCTCCGCTGAACTTCGGCCCCAACTTTGTGACGATTTTGGCGGCCCCGGGGCTCCAGTGCGTCATTTGCACAGCTGTCCGTCTCGGATTGTTGTGAGCGATCAAACGCACGAACGAGGTCCTAAGTGTTTCACTGGGATGGCCATGCTGTCAAATCTGTCCAAAAATGTGCGCTCTCTGAAAGGCGAGCGAGGAGAGGACAGCCCATATGGCGGTGCAGCGCTTTGTTGACAGCCGTTCGTGCGCACCGCGGAAGGCTTATCCTGCACGAGTCCCTCGTCGCAAAGGTCCCGCTGGATCGGGCTCCTATCGAACAACGCGGTCGTGTGGCCAACTTATCGGCGTAGGGAAGCCCTGGTTGATAGGACATACTATGGCCAGCTTTCTGGGACACGCTGTTTTAGTTCCCGATTCTCACGACACCTGGCGTATCAACCTTGAGCAAGATAGAGTGCCTTCATACACACGCGCGCTTCTGCTTGAGTGGTGGCATCTCAGTCATTTTTTCGCCCAATCGTTTTTTTATGCATTTTGAAGCACGCGCAATCTGGTGCCACTCAGCTCGAGCACGTAGCTTTGGCTAATGCATAGACGCCATTTTACCGCCCAAGTCACGCACCGAGTGCGCAAAAGCGTCACGCACTGGCACATTCAGGGCAACAATGGATGTCTTCACCTTCAGACAGACAGACATGTGGGCACCCTAGAGCAAGATAAACGGAGAATTCGAAGCGCGCGACCGCTATCTGAACCTCTTCCCATGTGCATCTCTCCGGCCTCCCACCCTTTTCACCGTTTGCGTCTGGCCAAATACTTGGCAAATAAGCAATCATCATTATCAGTCGCAGACATTTCACGACTACGCGCTATGCTACGCCGGCGGTCGGTGCGCCAGTGCAAGCCAGTGTCTCGAGGTGTGAAACAACGTCAAATGTGTTGCGTAGTGTTTTCGTTTGATACTATTTCGAAACGATGCACACGATATACCCCGAGTTTCAGCAAACATTCGTTTAGTTTAGGTTTCTAAATTTGGCTTTTAGAAACGAAAAATCTCCCAATTATATGTGTATTTTGCCGTTTTGCGTTCACAAGACAATCTGTTTTTTTCTGTATTGCGTATGTTACTTCAGTGCTGTGCGCCACTAGTATGGTCTAGTTTTGGAATTTGTATCATCTAAACGAGGAAACACTATTGTTCTTTCTTTTAAGGCGCTACCGGCTGTTGGTCAGCAAAGCATTTTGTCTTTAGTTCTTAGTTTTAGTGTTGATTTATTTGGCTCGGGAGAGCCGCGGTACCGCGGAAAGGCAGCAGCCCGTACAATGCAGGCCCGCTGTGCTGCGTCTAGTGAACATAATAATGTGATGAGTATATACATGCATGATGACGACGACATGGATTATTGGTAATGGGGAGGATGGCAGTCCGATTCGCACAAGTCCAGATTTTGTGGAGGTGGGTTCGGCGGGTCAGCAGCGAGCCATGGGGATCTGGCACGCCGTTCGATCGGTGCATGGAAGAGCCCCAGGAACATGATGGTGCTGTTGCTCACTGGGGTCCTTTGGCGTCGAAGCATCAGGCTTCAACGAGGTAGCCCAGTCAAAGTAGAAGCTGGCGCTTCCGAGGAACCTCCGTCACCCGGTGTGTCATCATCTCAACGTCGTCGTCGTTGTGTTCTTTATTTATTAATATGTATAAATAAAATAAGATAGATACGAAGACACACAATCGAACCGACAGCGGCGCGCCGTTCTAGGTATATTTCTAGTTATTTCTAGTTATACACGCCTAAAAGAATTTTTTTTCAGTTTGTGTCTGTAACCGAGCTAAAACTTTTCGTACACAGCCAGATTCAAAGCAAAATATATACAATCCAAGTGTTTCTGACCCTACATAAAAATTGCTTATATTTGAAATCCAGGGCACAAATTTTGACTGTAAACATCTAATTATTATATAGTCATATTATAAGAGCCACATTCTTAGCCAATATGCTCTCACAAACGCATCGTACAAATCTTTTTTTCGATAAGCCTATGTAAAGGTAGCTTGGCCGCTAGCTTCTTGGTGCACGGCGGAGTGCTAACTTTACAGGGGCAAAAAGCGGGCCGAATTTGAAAGTCTGTAGGAATAAAAAAGTATTGATTAAAATACCGAAATTTTAACTGCGGTGTGTGATATGAGTTGGCAGCTAATATAGTCCTTGGGAAATTTACGATTCTTCATTTCAGTGAGAAGAAATTTAATATTTTGTCAAAGTGACCCATAGGACCCAATGCAACAAATATTATATCGGGCCCAGGAATGAAACGTATACAATCCTAAGGTTCAAGTAGGTATTAAATAAGAGTATTACTGCCCTCTATAGATATCCCGGGGAACGTAAGGATTTATGCAGTAGTTTGGCTGAAATGATCATTTTACTGCGTTTTGCTGAGAATAGCCTAGAGAGGGCGCAAGGAGACCGTGTCCAGGAATGCTGGGGATGCGGCGGCCGCTCGACAATGCGACCTTCTGTTTGTGTACTTATCCCGATACTGAGATAATAGTGAGTTTTAGTATTGCGTATATACGAGCGAACGTAAGTGTGCGTTTCCCTTACGTGGTCAACAATGGGCGTGCGCGGAGTCCAAACTGCCGTCTTATATTGGCGCATGGCGTCGACGCGCATGCTCATCGTGGAGCACGCAACGCTAACGCAAACGCACAGCGTTTGCTCCTATACGCAATACTAAAACTCTCCAATGCCTTGCTGTTTAGGGTTAATTATGGTTGTGTACGCAGCTTGATCGAGGGCACACCACGTACGTACAGTACCCCTCAAACTTAATGCCACTACTCGGTTTCCCAAATATTATTCCATGGCCAGTTACTGAACAATAAATCTATCCCTGTACCAGCTGGGATGCCTGCCCCCGGCGGGGTACTGATTGAAGGGTCAAAACTTTACCACGATGGTTAGACCGGTAGTCACAGGAATAGCGGACCCTCTCGTGACGGCGTAAGTTTGGGGAGCACGTACAGACCCCATGTGTACTTGCGCGTTGGTTTCTAGATGTGCGCGTTTGGCTGTACGGCGCAGATTAGCTGGCAACCGACAGTCATATACGGACAGCACCATGATGTTTGATAGGCACAGTCGGTTGGTTCAAATTGGTTCAGCGTTTTCTCCTTTTGGTCCAGTATGTTCAAACATTATTCGAAGTGAGAATAATTGAACGTTGTCAACTTGCACCTGTATGCCTGTACTCCCACCACGGGGCTTCAGGGTTCGCGCAAAACTTTGCTTCATGGTGTCGTGTTATTGCATGCGAAGGGTCTTGGCCACGTTGCTGACGTGAGCAGCTCATACGTGAGCAGCTTGTACGCCGGCAGTCGAGCATGGCCAGTCTGCCTTTGCGCCAACCAGCACAAAATCATTGTTGTGGTTACTGTCATCTCACCCCCGAATGCGCCTTAAAAGAACAACGCAAAATGATGTTCTCTTTTTCTAATTCAGCATTGCCAACGAAAGGCGAAGTTCGTCGAAGAATGAAGACGAACCTTTGAGCCTCTTTTATTACCCAGTTCTGTCTACATTCCATGCTGCTCGGGTGTCACTCAATTGGTCGAACGACGTTTTAGCGAACGCCGACTTTTCATCGAAAGACACTTTAGCGAATGGTCGGCCGCCGCGAAGCGCCGTTTACGGGAGGGCCAGGTGGGTTAACATTTTTTTAATGAGCCGCCGCAGACTGTCGCCGCGAAGCGACGTCATTCGCTCATGCGATATGGACCCGCTGCGCTCGCTGTCGGACGTACGCCTCAGTGAGCAAGCCGCGATGTGCCAGCTTACTCTATCGGAAACTCCCACGTCTGCTGCTGGAGACCGCAGAAGATAAGATGTTTACAAAGAGCAGGAAGAGTTGGGAATGAATCACGATGGTCGCGGTCGCCGTAACTGGACGCCGAACCTGGCAACGGCTGTGGGTTTCGACATTTCGAACTCCGACACAAGTGCCAAAAGGCGCCGAATCAGGCGCATGCATGACATACGAAACAGACCTTTCGCTCGAGTGCTCAGATAACTGCGCGCTTAATCTCCGATCTGCGACGCAAGCTGGAGATTTTCATCTCGAGCGCGAGCGCTTTATCTCCGCTATTCTCACAACATTGGTCGGCCGCAACACGCTGCTCCTGTCAGCTATTTTCTCACTGTAGTCGAGCTTTGGAATCTGTCAACATGCATCTACTTCTCAGCTCCTGGTTAAGCGCGAAATGTTAATACTTTAAATTTTCTTTGGTCATAACGACTAAACATAACCACGTATGCGCACATCGTAATTCTCAGCTGTCGTCAGCTTCAGGTGAAGAGGAAACTACTGTCGGCTTTTGAGGCATTCAAGCGCTGTCGCTCAACACAGAACTCTGGCAAAATGATCAGGTATGTGCTGCAGCTTGCTGCTGCGTTCGTTGTCCTGTGCTGATGATATGATACTCATTCGCGCTGCATAACTATCTCTTCGATTGGCTGGAACCCCACGCATGCATACGGAGGTCGCATGCCTGCATATTTGGGTCCGAAGATCGCAGCTGCGAAGCTTTCAATATGCGGACAAAAAGGCGAAACTATTTCGCCGCGTTTTGCTGAAACATATAGCGACGTTGTTCTGGAGGAGCGCCGAGAGTAAGATGTTTGCATCCGAACGTGTATACGTGACCAGTATGATAACTTTGTTTGACAGCTGTGGGCAAGCACTCGTGAAAACGAAGCATCTGTTCGGCGCAAACCTGTGTATGCTCACGTTGTCTCTCAACGATCCGTCGGTGTAATGAGCCAGAACTGGTAAAACACCGTTTGCATTGTGTAGAATGTGTTTCTCTATGAAAACCAGAGATGTCACGATCTCTGCGCGGCAAAAACTCGGGGTTTTCAATTGTTTTGATTCGCTTCGCCATTTCAGAATATAAGTACACTTTCTTGTAACAATAACGGAATATAGGGACGTTTGATAACAAACATGACGCCTGATCTAACGGTTGACAATAACACGAATGGGTGAGTGCATGGGCGTACCAACCGGGGGGGGGGGGGGGGGGGCAGTGAGGGGGCAAGACATCTGTTTTGTCCCCCCCCCCCCCCCCCCCCCCTCCCCGAAACAGCTGCCACTGGGTAGGGCAAACACTGGCCGGCGGCGCCTAAGGGATACCAAGGGCCCCGCCCCCCGGCCCTGAGGGGGGGGGGGGGGGGGGTATCTGGTTTGCCCCCTAGTAATGCCAAACTATCGATAGTACTATCGATAGTCGACTATTGAAAAACTATCGATAGTCGACCATCGTGAATCTATCGATAGTACTGTCGACGGTTTACTATGGATAGTTTTGCGACACTAGTAGTTTGCGTCGCTCGCTCTTCTCTGTTTCTCGCTTTATTTTTTCAAATGGGACACCAACTACCCCAAGCACTTACCATCCCAACTTTGGTTCAGCTTTCAGTGATGCCGAAGACGGGAGTTTGGGCGAAGAGAGGAGGAAGGGGAGGCGAGCGGCGGTGCGGCAACTGTGTTCGCTCTAGTAGTGCCAAACTATCGATAGTCACCAGAAATCTGACTACCGATAGTAATAAAACTATCGATAATAGGGAGTTTTAGGAGACCTTTTTCGCACATACGGTACGGTACGGTGGGCCCTCCAGTACGCACTGCGCATGCGCTGCGTCGGAAGACTCGCAAATGCGCACTTCGTACCGGAAGGCCCATCGTACCGTATCAGATATGCAAAAACGTTTCCCTAAAACCCCCTAACGTCGCAGGACTATCGATACATTTGCATCACTATTGCCCCCCCCCCCCCCCCCCCCACACACACACACACACTCAAAAACAAGTTGGTACGCCACTGGGTGCCTGAAAGGTACATGTAAGTGCCGGGCTCAGAAGCATGTTCACCTCGATCTCGAGATCGTGATATTCGAATCGGGTATTGCTGCCCTAAGCGTGCCTATGCACGCGGGCTGAGTTCGTGACATTCCTCTTCAAAAAGAAACTTGACGTGTTTTTTTGTTCCGCCGCATTACGAGAGTTCCGTGCAGAATTGGGAAAGGGTTGGGCACGCATCCAGATGGTAGCGGTCAGGGCAGTCCGTCAGCTGACAGTCGGTCAGGCGATATCACGCCTCTCCTCTCTCCAGGAAAGAGGGAACTGCTGAATTGAGCGAAAGTATCAGCACAGCTGTCAGGTGGCACTCGGCACAGCGCCGCCGCCGCATTGAGAACACACGACCTTTCGACCTTGTATCTCGCCAAGTGGAAGGTTAGTCCAGAATAAAGTCCGCGCTATCTGGGTGGTGTCACGAGGGGCTCTCGACAAATCTCGCGTCCAATGTTGTCGCTGATGGTTTGTCCCCGAGAGAAGAATACCCAATTCAAACGAGATAAATGTAAAGGAGTGAAAGTATACAGGCGAGCTGGTTACGAAATATGATGTAAACCCCGTTACGAGGATAGATAAAATAACGGACAAAACGTTATTTTATTTCTCCTTGTCCCAGTGATTATGATGGAGATAAATGTGTTTATCCGTTGCTCCGTTGTGTATCGGCCCTTAAAAAAAAAGAAAAAAAAGAAAAGAAGTTTTATGTAAAATAAATTCTACGGAAGCACACTTTGCGGAAGCACGCTTATCTGTACGCTCTCCAGTGTAGTTCATCCGGGGACAACGTGCAGTGGTCACTGGAAAGTGAAGAGTGCGCGTGCGCAGCTTTAATCGACGCTCAAGTTGCGCAAGCGCAAAACGACCATATATCTTTGACTTCAGTGCTACAGAAGACGAGCCATTTTTCCCCAAAACGTGTATGCAATTTAGATGTCTTCATACCTGCGAGGGTTGATTAGATGGCTGGCAGCATTTTCTGTGGCAAATATTGGCACAGGAAAGAATCTTTACATTGTGAGTGACGGTTACGTTACTTGAATTGTCAAAGCGTGAAGTCAATAGTTCTGCGGCATTCTAAAATATATTAGGTTTCGCCATTAAACTCTGGGTTACTATCCGACCACGGGGAAATGTGCACGTCCTCGTAATACGATATCTAGTCGGGGGAAGACGATGAACGACGACGAAGACGAAAGGTGAGGCAGACAGGTGTTTATTTGCGTTCAAAATTTAAGCATTCTCGTTCGAGGAAAACGTGTTCACATCACAAGAAAGCAACAATCACGTACTCTCCTTCGTTGCACGTGGGCACGTAGAAATTACTGAACATAATTTATTTTCTAGTCGAGAAGAATCGTAGAGACGCTGGAAATATTCCGAAACCTGGGTTTATGTTCAAAGTGTTTCCAAATTTTATTCGTTGCCGCTAAAGTTAATCGAGTCAATTTTACGTCGACTCAGAGCCGAGTGATATTTCTATCAACCATTCGAATTGAGTCGCCCGTCATGAACTGGGCATAATAGGTGCTTCAGTGGCCGAATTAGTCCACATTAGTTGCTTTTTCGTAGCGTTCACTAACCTGTGTGTGTCTCGCAGATGTTCGGACGCCTTTTCTACGATCCGGCGCTACAAGGAAAGTCTCTTGGGGATGGTGCTACGAATCCTCAGCTACTTCCTCACAGCCATCATGCTAAAGCTCCGCGGGTGTTTTTGCTGGTGTCCCACGTCCAGACAGAGTCTCGATGATGCTGAAAGGAGGATCCTCTCGTGTGAGTCTTTTTCTGTCACTACGTGTTATGCACTCAGAGTAACGTAGTCAGAGGGTGTTGAGAGCCTCCCCCCCACTTTGAAAATAGAACCTCGCCTTACATGGCAAGCTATCTTTCTTCTTTTCCAATGGGTCGCCCCTAAAGTTAACAAAAACGTGCAATAATGCTCAACAACAAAACAACAGCAACAACAAAACAACAACAACAACAACAAAACAACAAGAACCACAAAACAACAACAACAACCAAAAAACAACAACAACAAAACAACAGCGAAACAACAACAACAACACGACAAAACAACAAAAACAACAACAACAAAACAACAAAAACACCAACAACTTTGGGCAGCAGGAATCAAGGAACAAGGGCTCTATTGTGGTGGGAACCGATAACCGTTAGTCAAACTTCGCGGAGCACTTGTTTGTGTTGTCCTGGCACGTATTAGAGCTTACATCATGCCTCTCAAGAGCTTCGGCTACGCAATCAGTGATCGAAATAGTTATAAAATTAAATAAATTTCTCAGTGTAGCTGCCACGACAGAACTTGTGAGCTTTCGGTGCTCTGCTCACAAGCTTGCGGTTGTCACCAGCCAAGGTTAATCGGAAATCGGGTGTGTTCTGATAAGATCATGCACGCGTGTCCAGTTGACATTTTTGTTTTTCTTCGTATTTTTATATGTTACTCCCCAATGTGTGGAGGGAACGGAATCACAAAAGGTTTTGAAAAAAAAAAAATTATTTCTTGTAAAAAAAAAAAAAAAAAGACTACATCAAGGCGGCAAACCTGTTTTGGCATTTTGTCATTTTTGCCACGTTTGACGGCACGTAATAAAGAAAGACCAAACAATATAAAACTCCGAAGTTTTTCTCATATAGTAGTTTATAATGGCAACACATGAAACAATTTATAGGATTTTGGGAAATATATATAGCGCGTTTGCCGCCTTGATGTAGTCTTTTTTTTGTTTTGTTTATACGAGAAATACAGTTTTTCTCGCAAAACCTTTTGTGATTCCGTTCCCTCCACACATTGGGGAGTAACATATAAAAATACGAAGAAAAAAAATGTAAACTGGACACGCGTGCATGATCTTATCTGAACACACCCAATTGCACTTGGCTTGACGCAGTCATGAAGAAGCCCTACTGCGGGTTCTTCGTGGACATCGGGCGCGTGAGCGACATCCCTCGGCGCAACAGCCGCATCTGGACGGTTGTGGTGGACCCGGACGACGGCTCGTCGGACTCTGCGCGGCTGCCCCTGGTCCTAGTGCACGGCTACCTGTGCGGCTCGGCACTCTGGGTGCTCAACCTCGAGTCCCTCGCCAAAAAGCGCACCGTGTACTCCATCGACCTGCTGGGCTTCGGCAAGAGCTCCAGACCCACGCTCAGCAGCGACGCGCGGACGGTCGAGCTCCAGCTTGTACAAGGTGAGCCCACGACCTGATCTCACCACATGTGTAGATGCGTAGGCGGAAGAAAATTCAGAAACCATACACGACTTGCATCGACGTCCCATCGGCGGTCATTGTGGTGACCTTGCTGCTGGGCGCGTACCTTCTGCAACATACGTTTTGCACAGCAGGATTTGTTCTTCTTAGTAAGAACAAGTAGGGAATGACCTACAGTTTTGTGCGATGACGTCACATTCAAGCCTTGTATTCGCGACAAGGAGCATGAGCTTCAACTATCTTCACGTGCAAAGGCTTTCGCTTGATCGATGGGTAGGAAGTTACAGCTACAATAATTATTGGGGGAAAAAGCGAGTTCGAGGTAAAGTTTATAGTAATTTTGTCTTTTTTTATTCGTGACATGAATACGAAAAGCATGACTCGTCAGAATGCTGTGTTTTTATACTAAGTTGTCTGGAACGCGTGTCCGCTAGCTTATTGTGTCTAGCGTCCTATTCCGCCTATGCATAAAAGTGGTCACAAAATGGCGGCAAATGACGTCACCAAAGACGGAGTGTCATGCTGTCGGAAGTTGCGATCCTAAAGGCCCGTTCACACTCTTGTGACCGAGTAAGACCGAGAGAGACCAGACCGGTTTTTAAGCCTCTTGCGACGTCTTAGAACCAGATGCGCCGCTGCGGAGCTGGTTCTAAGATGTCGTAAGAGGCTTAAAAACCGGTCTGGTCTCTCTCGGTCGTACTCGGTTGCAAGAGTGTGAACGAGCCTTAATGGTTGGGAATAAAAGTTATAAAAAAAAGGGGGAAAAAAAAAGGACCATGAGAGCATGCGAGTGTCGCGGTCGTAGCGGCGTGTCAACTTCTGGCTGCCGAAGCTTCCGTGGACTGTCACAGTGGAGAGCGACCTGCAGCAGAACAGGCCTCTGCCACATACAGCACCGCACTGCTGTGACACTGCGAGGATCGCGACCGGCGACAACATGGCACTTCTATGACGTCATCAGGCGGAAATTGAGGGACCACTTTTTGGACGCGGTACACACACCAGTCAGAGACGTGTTCAAGGCCAGAGGGCACTTCCACGCTCTCGCCCTGTAGTTTCTTTCTAAATGTTAAGGCCTTTCGGTTGTAGAGTATTAAATCTATAAATTAATTGGCATTCCTTATTTTCCCTGTCTCTGTTGGTTCTAATGCCACACTGAAGTGTAATAAAACTAAAATCAGAAACTCTATTATGATCTATAGAATTAATGTGACGAGAAAGCGGTCCGGGAACAAGTGTACGTATGAATATTCATACGTTTTCCTACGCGTGTTCCAATTTGTCCTATATATTGAATTAGGTATTTCTTACACTGCTTACACTGAACCATATAAGCGACATGTTCTGAATTACAGCGTGTCGTTTATTTTCCAGTGATAGTGATTTACCGTACTTTGAATAGTGTCAGTAACCAAAAAATCTGAACACAAATTACAGCGATTATTATTACAGTTTACACAACCTAGGATGACCGTGCTACGTCCAATAGAAATTCTATCTCGACTGTCTAAAGATATTCATAAAATTGCTCGCACTTTTAAATGCGATACCTGACGGCTGTGGAACTAAAGCTTTTATTGTTTTATCCATGTGTAGAATGTTTATATGGCGTCCAAGGGTATGATTAATATTTGGTAACTGTGAATGATATGGTACAATGAGTCGTAACTTAAATTATCTCTCTTTGGTCGTTGTATTACACTATCAGCCCGGGTAATAGCACGACTTTTAATAGTGAGTTATCGACTAACTGGATGGGGTATCCACGATTAATGAAAACCTCCCCTTGTGTTTTGAAATTCAGAATTCAAATTTGCGGCTTTTAGATGCCAAACCAACGGCGGGCATCTGGCACGCCCCAGCGGAGGACTAAGGATTAATTTCGACCACATGGGGATCTTTTGGCGTGCAACCGAAAGCTGGGTTACACGGCGCCTTCTCCACAATAAGCCTCCGTCAGATTGCGGGCACCTGGGCCGGGATTCGAACCCGCCACCTGGGGATCCGTAGGCCGGCGCTCTCGCCTCAAAGCCACCGTTTTTTTCTATTGCCTGTTTATACATCGGTTACACACACACACGCACACGCACACGCACGAACGACGGAAATTCGCCTTCGAAACCATTACCCATTGGTACTCCTTGCGCAAAAAGATCCCGATAGTACTCCACAAAAGCTCTATCGATCGTTTTCTTATCGCGGGTGATCATGTTTTTATACCGTTTTTCTCTCATCTTGTTACGCTGCCCTTGCCTTTTTTCATCGCTAATCGCGCTTCGTCGTTTTTTCGCTCAACCTTAGCCTCGTGCTCGCACACCCGCCCATTTGTACCTTTCAGAGTCGATAACTTCCAGCTGGTTCTTGATATCACTTATTTCTGCCGAAGACCTCGCCGGGCTCCGCGCTATCTTCGATTACTAAGATTTCCAACTGACGCCGCAGTTCTTTCTCTTTATTATTTTTCTCGTATTTTAAAAGGGTACTGCTTTCAACGGCTATAATTTTCACCTCTTCTTTGAATAGTTCACACCTTACACTCCAGAATGTTAGTTTGTCCTCGTGTAACTTCTTAAATAATTCATATACTTTAGCTCTAAAGAATTTGTCCTTCACAAGGTTACTCTTGAGCTTCCACAGCGACCAATTCCACTTAGGAATTTTTTCTCTGTGACCAAGCGTAAACATTACCAACGCGTGATTACTAAACGAGACAGGTTGGACACTATAGTGATCACACAAAGGGACAAGATCGAGCGAAATATAGACCCTGTCGAGTCGGGCATGACTGAAGCCCCATGGAAGCGAGTAGACTGAACGCTGCCTTTGGAAGAAAGGCATGCTACGTGTTTGAGTGCCGCCTCCATAACCATATCATTTAAAAACAAACACAAACACTATTTGCACTATCCCCTGGCGTGCAAACACAATTAAAATCCCCGAGAAGAATAATAATCGTATCACTATCGAGGTACGTACTCAGACCTTCAAAGAAAACCTTAATAAACGTAACGGACATGCCATTCAATATTTGAAAAAGAAAAATCGCACAACGTTCGGACGCACACGAAATAACGGCCGCTTCGGCAATGCCTACCGACTGGCGAATAACAAACAACCCCCGACGTCCTTATTGAGTCCGCGACGCATATATTAAAAAGGGTTCGAAAAGGTTGCGCCATGCGGTCCGTCTGTTCCTGGCTCTCAACTTTCGTTTCTTGAACGGCAACAGTATCGAGCTCATTTTCCGCGAACAATCTACTGAGCTGATATCGCCAACGCCTCGCTGCCAGCCCACGGACGTTAATTGCGGCAACACGGCACTTCTACTCTTAGTGCCCTTCCAGGAAGAAAGAAACCGCATCGTGCTTACCTCAGGTTGAGGGCTCTCTCACCCGCATCGACGTGGAGCTGGCGTCTGACTGTCCCGAGTACCAAGACCAGCTGCAGGCGCACACAGTCACGGGGGTGGTTTGGGCACCCTTGCGTCGTATACAGGAACCTTCGGCTTGATGTTGAGCCGTGGCCTCCTGAGCGGTGTCGCCTTCGGAGGCGACTCCTCGTGGTTTGCCGCACTTGGGTTCGTGACGTCGTCCTTGCGAGACCTTTTGATGTTAGGGCAGCTTGCCGAGGCCTCTGAGACAACCATGGTTGTGTCCACGGCAGACTCCTCGACGACGCTGGCTTCTACGCCGCTCGTGGCAGCCCTCTCAGCCGGTGGAACATCAGGCTGCCCAACGTGACGCGTAGCGTCTGCACCCAATGCCGGGTCGGCATTGCCTTGCTTCAGCTTCCGATGCCGGCGTGACGTTTGCCTTTGTGTCTGCCCCGTCCGAAGCACCCGATGTGGCCTCCTCGGCATCTGCGCCCCCATGAGGTGCTCCGAGTTATCATGGTTCCCCATGGGTCCTGTGACGCTGGCGTAGGTACGGACGCACTGGCTCTCGTCGTGGCCGAAGCGGCGACAGAGCGCGCAGCGCGGCACTCGGCACTCCCGTCGGATGTGGCCCTTGCCCTTAAACCGCAGGCATAGCGGCGCCCTGCCGGGCACCACCACCAGCGCCAGGTCACCTGCGTTGCGGAGCTGGTGGGGGAGGTCGTCCGCTATGACTTCGGGCCTCAGCTTGACGGACACCGAGCGCGTCGTCGAAGCCATGTCTGTGCATTCTGAGACACGCCACCTGTCCCGTGTAACCCCCGTCACCTTTCCGTAGGGCGCCAGGGCCGCACGTACCTCGTCGTCTTGGACGTGATGCAGCAGCCAGTGGAGCTTCAGATGGACGTCTCGGTTACACGGGTCCACCATGACGCAGCGACGGCCCTTACCTTTGAAGTCGTCAGCTGCAAGCAGCCTCTTTCTTCCTTTGTCGCTCTTAAGGGTCGCTGCGCACACATGGTTATACTGATACACCCCCAAGGCAAGCACGTCGGGAAGAAGTGCCGCCAGTGCGAGTGCGTCTCGGAAGTTTTCCAGATGGTACGGCCTGGCTTTTACATCGGCATGTAAAAAAATGGTGTTCTGAACGGACGGTCCTCATGGCATGCTGCAGCGTCGGCAAAAGAAGTTCGTGACCCTGAGATGCAGCAATAGTACTCCTGATACTGGGTTACACTGAAGCGTAGCTTATTTAGTGGCACTAGTGGAACCCCGGTAAGCTCAAAAGTGCCGAGACACCGCTAGATCCGCCAGACTCAGATGAGCGAGAGAGAGCCGAGCGTTCGAGCAAGCTTGCGCGGGTTGCATCGTGCGCAAATTATTTTGTAGCCACGGCAGCCACGGGATGGCGCTTTCGAAACAGTTCTGCAGAGAAGGTATCGGAAATCGTGCAAAGGCTGTGGATTGACTGGCATAGAAATTTGTATAGTAGGCTCTGCCTAGCCTCCAAACAATAACGCACTTCTTCAAAGGTCACATCATATATATATATATAAATTCACGCCGTCGGAGTTGCGAACACCAGTGAGCGCCAGTGCGATGGCGA